GCAAATCTTGTTAGAGGACGTGTTCATTTACTGGAAGTCTCCAGCATGCGGATCTGAGCAGCTCTCATGCTGTCTGCAGGCAGTCTGCCCCCCTGGCTGCTCTATTAATTTCTCTTAGCAAGCTCCCTGATTTCTATGCAGTTCCCTTGATGAAGTTAAGCACGACTCAAGTGGTTTTTCCGCTCGACAGAGCAGGTCTTCAACAACCCTCTTCTAAATTGCCAGGGATAAAGTCCTGAGTCCAGCCCCCCTGCAGGTTTCCCCACCAACCTCTCCAAGAAACTCAATTAGCAGCAGCTGAAAATCGTGATGTTTTGCATCACCAGCACATTTTCCTGATTTCCCATGTCTCAGAGTCCCCCTTTCCTGCCTGCTGCTCCCTTCCAGCCATGTGACCATGGCAGCTGCTGTTTGTCCCTTGACACATTCCCCCTGTAATGCTCTGGTCCCTGTGGGTACAGCCAAGCCTTTGTCACTCATCTCCACAGCCCCTGCACCGCTACCCTCCTGCCAAACTGGGCATGCCCTGCCACCCTTGTGTTTCCTCACTTCTCCAGGTGTTGTGACACGATGTGCTGCTGGGACAATGCTGGCTCTCAGTGCCCTGGGTCCCCCTGACAACCCCTTGTCCCTGCTCTGGGCTGACTTTGTCATGCTCAGCTCTGTCTTAGTTCTGTGGGACAGGTACCCACGGCAGGGTGTTTCCCAGGAGCAGGGCCCTGGAGTGCTGTCCCATGGCACTGGAGCTGGGCTTTCTCCAGACAGCTGTATCTCCCACTTGTGAGTGCCTGGCTCCCACCTGGTCCTCCCCCAGCACACAGCAGACTGGGGCTGAAGCTTTGAGGGGTTCCTGATCCCCTCCCCTGAAGGCCAGGGATGGCAGCAGGGGGGATGAGACCTGGAGCTAGGGCATGGGGGAGAAGGAGGGGTGAGAAAGCAGGCTGTGCATGGGCTCCCCCGGGAGAAACAGGGTCCCTCTGCACGCACACAGCTGCTCCCTCAGGCTGCCCGTGGCGCAGGCACTGCCTGCAGGGCTGAGGGACAGCCAGGGACCGAGCAGGGCAGGCAGGTCCAGTGCCTGTGAGCTTTACCATGGTGCCAGCCGTGGCTGATGGATGGGTCTGTGTGGGGAGGGCAGTCAAGCCTTGCTACTCTGATGAGAAAATCATCGAGTGGCTGCAGGGTGCTTCAGGCAAACTGCAAAAATAAGAGAGCAGCCAGGGCATTCTCTGAGCCCTTCATCATCCCCAGAGCAGCACAGTGACAGCCATGTCCGGCCAGGGAGCAAGCTGTCTGTACCCACCATGGAATTTACACTGACTGGGGTGGAAAGGCTTTGCTTCCCTGGTCTGGCAGCACAGTGAGGAGGAGGGCTGAGGACTCCCAAGGTAGCTACCAGGGATCTGTGCCTCTTGACCCGGGGTTTCATGAGGATACAGGGAGAAAATGCTGAGGTGAGGACAGCAGGGTTACACATCCTTCCATACACACCTGCCTGGGGACTCACCAACCCCCAGGTGACCAATCTGGTGACACCACCAGCCACCCTTCCACCCCAGCCACGGGTGTTAGCAAGGGGCACAGCACCCTTGTGCACCAAGAGAGACCCCCAAACCTCGGGCCTCTCGCCAGCCCCCACCCGCTGCTTCCTGGTCAGGCACACGCGGGCAGGGAGAGGAGGAGGGATGCCGGGTGCTGCCTGCATGCGCGCAGCCTGCTGCAGGGCTCAATAATTCAGGCCTGACACATTAAAGTTGCATGGCATGCAATTGCCATCTGCAACGACAGACTGCGTCAGGCTGCTGGGTGATGAGCTCGGACAGCAGTCATCGGGCAGGCAGTGGTGGGAGGGTCCGGCAGCCCCCGAGGAGGGTAGAGTGAGGGCAACACTCCCCACCTCTTTAGTGGGGACTGGGGTGGGAGGAGGTCGTGGCAGGAAGTACAATACCAGTGCTTGGGATGCACATTTCCAATAAACTTGTGCTGAAGCAGGGAGCACTGGCCAATGGCATTGACAGCGCAGGCAGGATGGAGCAGGGATGCAGGAATCAGGGTGATACTGCTCCCGGGGCTACCACCTTCTTAGGCACCCTCTGTGTCCACTGCATCCTACCTGTCAGGACAGAGGCTGTAGAGACTTACGCTGCCCCACCCACGAGTCAAAAGCTCTACCCAGCCGTGTCTCTCCCCAAGTCCCTGGCACCGCCTGACCTGGTATGGCTCGAATCGCCCCCATCCCTCTCCAGCGCTGAGGAAGCAAAGCTCTTCATCAGCTGTTCCGGGAGTTGGTTGCCATGGGGATGTCAGATGTACCTGGCTGTTATAGGGATACTGTTGCCATGGTTATGTGGTTGCTGTGCCTGGCAGAGGCAGGGATGGAACATCGGGAAAGCTGTTTACACTGGGAGGGTGGGAGTCACAGAGACCCCAACTCTCTGGGCAGGAGGGGAAGCTGGGAGAGTCCAGCCTTCACCCCAGGTGCATCCTCATGGGGCAGGGGCTGGAGGCTGTGGGGAACCGTGACAGCAAAGCTCACTAGACCCAGAGGGATGGACATACTGGTGCTCCTGACCTTGCAACAAAGGACAGGTGACTGAGGGGAACTGGGGTCCCCCATGGTGTGTCCCAGCATGCTACCAGACAGGGAGAGGTGGGAGAGGCACACACACCCCCTGTGCTGGGTGTCCCACAGGAGAGACCTGCTTCTTCATGCTTGGTTGCTGGGGCAGTGAGCAAGAAACCTTCCTGTCCTGCAGTACTGTGTGTCCTGCACTTGCAATGCACCGAGCCGTGTCCCGAGCTAGGCAGGAGAATGGCCCACCCTGGGACTGGGAGATGAAGTGAGAATGGGGATTCCCAGCTCTCAGCAGGCAGCCCACAGGCCCCCAGGGACGAGCTGGGCTGGCAGAGAATGCCTGGATTCCCTCCAGTGCTGCTTGGCCGAGCTCCCTCCTGGGCAGTGCGGTCAGATGCATGGCCTGTCCTTGAGATGAAAAATGCAGTTGCAGGTTTAATTAAAAGGAGAGGGAGCTTTCAGCTGCACCAGCTGCCCAGAAAAGCAGAGTCTAACAGAGCTGGTGTGTGGCTCCTCCAGGCTTCCCTGGGCAGCTCTCCTGGCTTAAACCCTTGCCCAGCTCTTCCAGGCCCCTCAAGGGTCCAATCCCACGTGTGTCATCCCCGTGGTGTCTGTTGTCGGGCAGGCCAGGGGCTGTGCAGCTGCTTGCACAGGGATAGCTCATCCCACCACTGGCTCTGTTACTGTAGAGTCTCCACAAATTTGACAAGCAGCAGGTTTGCACTTGAGCCCTACAGCAGTGAGGCAGAGGATGAGGGATGGGTAAGGATGCTGCACGCAGCCCTGACACCTCCATGGAACTGGGGTGCACTGGTGTAGGACAAGCTTGTGCCTAGTGTGCACTCCACGCCACCCTCTTGCTGATGTGAAAGCTAAAGCTGAGCTCCTCATCCTCTGGGGGCTGCTACTGCCAGTGGAGTGCAATTGGACTTAATTAAAAAATTAATCCTTAATCTGCCACCTGGCCAGACAGGACATTCTGTATGGCAGAGAGAGGGCTGGAGGGTGAGCTCAGGGGGGAAGGAAAGTGGCAGATGCAGGTTCCTCAATCCTTGTACAATGACTGGGGCTCCTGCCCAGCACATTTCCACGCCAGGCTGGCTCCCCGTGGGCATAGCCCAGACCAAGGCCCAGAGACAGAGGCAGCAAACCCCTGAACTCACCAGCACTGCCATGGTTCTCACCAGCTCATCCCTCCTCCCGCTCTGCCAACCCCATCCCCACAGTCCTCCCCAGCTGCCCCCACAAACCCCCAAGCCCACCCTGCTCTGGCCAGCTGAGGCCCAGCTCCAAGACGCAGTTTTAATTAGATTGCAATCCTATTACATAGCTGCCTGCCTGCCTGCAGTTGCTAATCCTGTTAAGCATCCAGTAAATCTCCCTGTGCTGGGCTCTGTCCCCAGGGGTACAGAGAGGGGGGCTGCTGGCGGGTGGGCTCTGCTCAGCTAGGATGTGGCTGCTAGGGTGCAGAGCTTTGCCTCAGGATTCCACCGTGAAGACCCCTGCAGGGCTGAGAAATTTTCAGGAGATTGAGGAAGTCCCCAGTGGGGTGAGAAGTGTCAGTGAAACTTTCCCTGTCCTCCCTGGACCCCTCTGAGCTGCAGAGTGAAAAGCCCCTGTCCTTGAGGTGCACACACAGCCCAAGAGTCTGTCCCCACACCATGGTCACCCCTGGTTGCAGTGGGTGCTGAGCCCACAGGTCTGACCATAAGCCAGACAAGGAGCAGGGGCTGAGAAAGGGCTGTCCCAGCTGGGTCACAGGGTACAGTCCACACAATGCCCTCCCACTGGAGCCTAGTGCCCTGCAGAGACAGCGCTGGTGGCAACAGCAGGGACACAGGGTCACTAGTCTACTGCTCCTTGGGTGTAGCCACATGTGGGGTGCTGAGGCAGGCTGTCCCAGGCAGTGGGGTGACACTAACAAGCTGGGGGCTCCTGGGGATGTGGCCTTTGAAGGCAGAGGCCTCTCAGACCTGTGCATTGCCACGGCAGGCAGCACCAGCACCCAATGGCACCTACCCCCACTGCTGTGGGCTCACCACAGTCCTGCAGGCTTGGAGAGGATCCTGGATGCCCTGGTACAGCAAAGCTGCTCCTGGGTCAGACATTACAGCCATCCTGTGAGAGCACAGTGCCCCAACAAAGACATCCTGCAACCTGTCATTGCAGGAGCCAAAACACTGCAGCCTCTGCTCCCCACCTCCTGCCGGCCACTTTGCTCTGTTGGAGCTGCAGCAGCTCCGGAGCAGCTACCACAAAGTGGCAGCTCTGACTGAGAGCCAGAGACTGTTGCCATTCCTCCCCTCCACACTGAACCATACACCCTCAGCAACTCCATGGCCTGGCACAGATGGGAATGTGTAACCCAGGTCAGCTTTGAGACCCCACAACTCTGCCCCAGACTGAGCCACAGCAACCCCTGGAGACAAGTTCAATCAGGCTGTAATTGGAAGAACAGGTTGGCACAGGTGGCTGTGTGCCTGTCCAGAGGAGTCCTGGCACTCCCAGAGAAGGGTGGCCAGCAAAGAGAGTGGGTGCCAAGCCCCACAGGGCTGCTGTCCATGACAGAGACAGAGGAGTCTGAGCTGGCGTCAGCATCAGCTGGTACAAATACTGTTGATGGAGGCCACAGCGGGGTCGACGAGGCCCAGCTCCTCCTGCTCATTGACGCAGAGCTGGTACCCGCATCCCTTGCGCCGGGGCAGGGGCCCCAGGCGCCGGCTGGGCTTGGCACGGGGCGGCAGCAGGAAGCCGACGCTGCCGGCGATGAGCAGGTGCCAGATGCTGTGGATGTAGAAGTAGTTCTCCTCTGTCTCCACGAAGGCGTAGAGCAGCACGGCCGCTGCTGCGATCAGCGCTCCCGGGCACAAGTAGAAAGCCCAGCGCTTCCAGGTCGGAGGGTAGCAGTGGCGGCGACGGATGGTGCGAGCCGTCTGTGGTGGGGAAAGGACAGGCTGGAATGGGGAGCCACAGCAGGGACAGGCACGACCTCTGTGCCATGGTGACACACCCCTCAGGAGCCAGGGAGAGGGGTTCATGGGGAAGGGTGAGGGCAGCAGAGGGGAGATGTTGGCAGGGGCAGGATGCTGAGCGCAGCCAGGATGGGGACATGAGGGACATCATCTTACCCAGGCGACGGCCATTATCCCCAAAGCGAAAAGGCTGGGCCCCAGAAGGTTCCAGAGCCCGTGACGGTCCATCTGCAGAGCCATGGAGAGTAGCATGGCCCCCAGCAGGTACAGCACCTGTGGGGCAGTGGGGCACCCATCAGGATAAATCTCTTCCATACCTGCCCTGCATGCTCCCTCCCCACACTTGCCTGCTTGACTATGGGCTGGAGCCGGGCCATGGCGATGACAGTGACCCAGACAGACATGAGAGAGCCCAAGAAGTCACAAAACTGCAGCACATCATACTCCATGATGCAGAACACCACAATGCCTGGCTGGTCGCAGGCATGGTAAAACTGGGGTAGTAGGGAAAGGGTGTGAGAGCTGCCCTGCACAGCCCCAGCCCTTCACTTGCCCCTCAGCTGCCCCACGCACACTCACAGTGGAGAAGAACATGGTGAAGATGTAGACAGCAGCTTCTAGGAGGTAGTGGCTGCGGACAGCAATGGCCACGGGAGGCACAAACATGACATTGCTGAGGCACAGCAGCAGTGTGGAGAGGAGCTGGAAGCCATAGGAGAAAGCCTCAGCGTTGTCCGTGCAGCCCCAGCCGTTCCAGCCTGTGACCAGGGAGAGCTGCTGTCACCACTGCAGCACTCGCAGGGTCTGGGGGGGTGAGCAGGGAACCCCCTTTCCAGCACCCTGCAGAGACCTGGCATGAATGGACTACTGGGATACAAGTAGTATCCAAGGGGAAGGGTGCTGGGATCAGCTCTCACCAGCTTTGCACTCGCAGGCAGCGTACAGGTAGTTGTTGGTGCGCAGCAGCTTGCACTGGCCGTAGATGCCGCAGTCGTTGATGCAGGGGGAGAGGTAGGCACGCAAGTACACCTCAGCTGTCACGTTGGTGCAGGGCTCAAACCTGCAGGGTGGGAGAAGGGGGTCAGCCCTCACCCTGTGCCCTTGAAGAGCTCCTGCCTCTACCAGAGCCACCCGTCTCACCCAGACTTGGCAGGTGATGGGAGACCCAGGGACCGGGCAAGCTTGAAAATGAGATTCTTTGGTGCTGCATGTGGCAGCTGAGAGCTGGTCCCCAAGGATCCAGTGTGCTTCAATTGTTTGTGCCAGCCTGAGTGAGCAGGAGGAACGTGGCCCTTAAAACACTTAAAGCCCCTCTGCCTTTAGCAGAACACTCAGCTGGTTCCTATTTCATTTGGGTTTCGCTGTGCAAACACCGCGCCCTGCCTTGCAATGGCCATGTGTGAACCCATCAGGGAAGGACTGACTGCGACTGGCAACTCAGCGTGAACTAGAAACACAGCAGAGGAGTCAGAGCAGGCACGCCAACCCCACTGCCCTGGGCTGCCCCTGCACAAGACTCTGGGCACTGCCAGCACCTCCTCAGCTCCAGCACACCAGGAGCACAGGCAGCCCCACAGGCTGACAGAACATACCAGCTGCTGGCTGGGCACACACAGGCACCCCGACATGCACAGATATGCACACAGTGCCAGCTGCATGTGTGTCTGCTGTCCACTGACTGTGTCCTCACACAGTCTAATCTGCATGTGCATTGTGCAGAACATACACTGCCCTGACTGCTTCAGCAAAGCCCTGACTGCTTGTGCAAACCAGAATACACACACAGAGCTGGCTGCACATATGCACCCAAACATGCATGCAGAACCACCTGCACTCGTGCATCCTTGCACGTACAGATACACACACACACACCAGCCTCACTCTTCCACAAGGCTCCAGGCAGACACAGAGACCAGGAGCAGAGCCACAGCACAGTGCCAGTCCCTGGAGATGCTGAGCAGAGCCCCAGCCTGACCAGAGATGTCCCCTCACTCGCGGAGCAGAGCCCTGTCCTCCCAGCGACAGCCGGTCCCCTCCCAGGCACGGGTACAGATGGGCCCTGCCGCGGGGGCGGAGAGGCACTGACAGATGCCCGGCGTTCGCGAGCTGACAGGCACTTCCTAACCGCGAGACAGAGGGAAGAGCCGCGGGGACCCACAGATGGTCAGGCAGACGCGAGCTGGAGCCATCCTTGCCCACGCAGCGCTCACACGGTGACACACGTCCCGCAAAGCCACGTGCACACACATGAGCAGAGACACGCAGCACAGGGACATGCGCACCCACAGACCCACGGCACACACAGGCACAGGTCACGGTGAGGACATCCCCCCTCGGGGCACAGGGAGGGGATGTGCTGGGGCTCTTACCCGTGCTCCGTGGCACAGAGCGAGCGCAGGCTCAGGTACCAGCTGCCTGTCTGTGGGTAGGGGATCCGCAGGCGGCTGAGGCTGGCTGTGGCATTAACGGAGAGCAGGAAGCCTGCCAGAGACTCTGTGGGCCAGAACAGCTCTGGGTGAGCAGAGCAAGGTGCAGCTCCCTGCCCTGGACAGAGCTGGAACAAGGACAGAGCATGCTGTGCCAGGCTCCAGGGTGACATGCCCCCATGGTCTCTGCAGCCTCCCCCCACCCTCTTGCCAGACACAGGAGTTGTGACCCCATGGACATGGCAGGATGGACATGCACAGCCCAGCCTACCTGTCTCACAGGTGACCGTGGTGTTGTCACCAGATGTCAGTGGGACTCCATGGTTTAGACACCCAAACACTGTCACATTCTCACCACACAGGGAGCTCTGACGGCAGAGGAGATGGTCTTAAACCAGTGCCAGGGATTTCCCTGCTCTGACAGCCCTTGGATCAGAGCACATCAACTAGCAGTGTCCTAACCCTCTGACCTTCACCCAAGAACACCCCGAACCTCGGCCTTGGAGCACCCTAATCCATTCTCCATCACCCGAAAACTTCACAACCACTGCCTGTGACCCCAAATCCTATCCTCTGCCCTGCTGCAACCTTGACATCACCCATCTCCCATCCTAGCCCCCCGTCCCAAGCTACCCTGCCCTGCTCAGGGTGTAATGTGGCCACCTCACCACGTTGAGCCGCAGCTCCAGGTTGAGTACCCCACCACTGTCCAGCACTGGCAGGAGGTTGATGACGAAGACAGCGGGGCGGTCAGGCGGCACTGACACGTTGGGCCCGAAGAAGATGTAGAAGTGGACAGAGAAGGTGTCCAGCTCGTTGCGCAGCGTGGGCCGGACAGGCCAGCACCGCTCTTCGGTGTGTAAGGTGACAGGGATGGGGACCGGGTGCTTCGTGTCGTTGGGGCTGGTGGGTGGAGGGCTGTCCCCCAGCGCCAGCCCACCCGCGGAGCCGAAGGAGTGGGGCATGTTCATGGAGGCGCTGGAGGGCAGGAAGGGTGGCCGGGCCAGGCTGGGTCGGGAACAGTCTGGAGGGACAGAGCCATCAGCCTGGGCACCACACAGCTCCATCCCATTCTTAGTTCCCACCTTCCCTTCTTGCCCTCCATTTGCAATCCAGCCCCAACACCTCACAGCATTCCCATCCCAGCAGAGCTGGGTATAAATAACCCTGTGCCCAGCTGCAGACAGATCCTGTGGGCATCCTTTAGCCCCCACACCAAAGCAGAGTCAAGACCATGCCTCCACCCACACCTCCACATGCACCCTCACCTGTGAGCTGCACGGTGACCTGGAAGGAGACGGTGCCCGGCACCCCAGGGTGTTTCTCCACCAGCACGTAGTACCAGTGCTGCCAGAAGGGCAGGTCCTGTGCCAGCTGGCAGGGAGTGTGTTCCCGGCAGTCCAGGGTTGTGGAGTTGTGCAGGGGGGGAGCCTTGGCCCGCACACGCAGCCAGAGTGGGCAGCCCTCGGCCCCACGGCACCGCAGCACCTCCACAAGCACTCGCGATGTGTAGCTGGGCACAAAGACCCTGCGGGACAGCAGTGCCAGGTTGTGCCCATCACTATGGACTAACAGGGTTGGGGAGGGAAGCCAGAGGAATGGGACACCCTCGTCTCCCCACCCTGAGAATGCCTCCTCCTTAGGTGACCTTCTCACACTCACTTGTAGAGGCAGGAACGGTTGTGGGGGGCCATGCTCTGCTCGGTGACATGACCGGGGTACAGCACAGCGATGTTCACCAGGCGCTGCACGATGAGCTGTGGCTGGAAGAGATACTGGCACTCCTCGTAGAGCCCCTGAAGCACAGGAGAGTCAGCACCGGGCAAGGGGCACAAGGCACTGCCCCACTTGGGACACCTGCCCTGCCTCTGGACTGCCAGCCCAGAGCAGTCTGACCCCAGCCCTGCCCCGCCACGGTCCCTCCTTCACCTTAACGGAGATCTTGCCCTCATCTTTGGGCAGGTGGGCAGCCAGGAACCAGTCCCCGGGCAGCGGGCTGGTGACATTGAACACGCCTGTGGTGCGGTTGGGCAGGGTCCAGGTGAGGGTCAGTGCGAAGGAGCCAGGGACGGCCGTGTCCCTGGGGAAGTGCGTGTGCAGCGGGTTAATGACAGAGGGAGCCCCTGAGCGGAAATACCTGCAGGAGAGACAGCAGTCAGCAGGGTGTAGGCTGGGCATCGTGGCAGGGCCAGTATGTCCTACATGTGGGTGTCTTCCTCTATGCTTAAAGACATCATGGAAGCTGGGACCTTTCTGGAGACTGAGCTTTCCTGAGTGGGTGTTCAAGCAAAACAGTTCATCTGTGAGATGCACAGAAGAGTGGAGCCTGCATTGGTCCTGGGAAGATGAATCATGGGGAGAGAGCGTACATGTTGTCTGGGTTTTGGCTGGGATAGGGTTCATTTTCTTCTGAGTGGCTGGTACAGTGCTGTGTTTTGGATTTAGTATGAGAGTAATGTTGATAACACACTGACGTTTCAGTGTTGCTCAGCAGCGCTTACCCTAAAGCACTTTTCAGTGTCTCATGCTCCACCAGAGAGTGGGTGCCCAAGATGTTAGAAGGGAGCACAGCCTGGAGAGCTGACCCAAACTGACCAAAGTAATATTCCATAGCACACAGAACATATTCTGTTCCATATAGAGCCTCCTGCCCAATGTATAATCTTGGGAGAGTTGGCATGGAGCCACTGAACACTGCTGGGGGACAGGTTGGGCATCAGTCAGCATGTGGTGAGCAACTCTGTGATGAATCACTCATCTTTCTCGGGTTTTAGTTCTCTCTCTCCTTTTTGTTATGGTTGTTATTATTATTATTTTGTAGCTGTTTTATAATTAGTATTATTGGCATATTTCTTTTGATTAGTTAACTGTTTTTATCTCAACCCACGAGTTTTACTTTTTTTTCCATGATTCTCCTCCCCACCAGGGGAGCAGGGGGGGATGAGCGAGCAGCTGTGTGGTACTCAGTTGGCAACCTACTCTAATGGAACATGTCCCATGGTAGCAGGTTGGAACAACATGATCTTTAATGTCCTTTCCAACCCAAAGGATTCTGCGGTTCTATGATTCTTTGACTCTATAGGTACCCATGCATGTGCAAGCAAAGAAGCAGGCAAGAGCAGGCAAGCTGTGGGGCAAATCCAGACAGGAGCAGCAGAGGCAGGCAGGAAGGATACAGGCAGGCTAGGCTGCTTACTCACACGGTGATGCTGCGGTCTGGGCATTGATCCCCAAAGGTGCCACCTTGCTCCTTGAAGGTGATGAGGTTCCAGACGGCGATGACTGTGTCCTCGGGAATGTGGAAGTGGAAGAGCTCGATGCTGGCAAAGGAGCGGAAGGGGCTGAGCTTGCGTGGTGTGCGGGTGAAGTAGTCGGTCACAAAGAGCCCGTCTGCAAAGGAGACCCAAGTGGCTCTCAGCAGGGCAAAGGACTGGGGAGGGGGTTGTGGAGCCTCCCCCAGAGCAGGCCCACCACCCAGGCTCTGAATATGTCACAAGCATCCAGCAGCCTCGAGGCAGCAGGGGCTGGGACAGTGCCATTTCAGTGGATCTCCAGGGCTGATGTCAGCTGTCCCCAGCTGTGTCTCCCAGCCCTGGCACAGTCTGCATCATTCCTGGTTCAGCACTGCCTCAAGTCCAGTTCACTGAGCTGTGGGCACTGATGGTCAGTAGCCTGAGGAGCCCATGGCTGCTCATGCTCTGCTCCCTGCATTTTACCTGTAATAGTAAAGGGACATTCTTCATGGCTTCAGCTATGCCCTGGCAGGTCAGCTCCCACAGGAACACACATTCCCCCTCATCTGCCTGATGGGAAGGCTCAGCACCAAGCCCATCATAAAGTGCAGAGTTTCATCCTCGAGCCACAAGAAGAAGGAGAAAGCAGAGCACTTCCTGCACCACCTCCCAGCTCTCCCATGGTTTGTGGAGGAGGAACAGTGCACATATGTGTGCACATATGCACACGTGGGTGCTGTCTGCATGCAAGGCAGAGAGGAGGCGTGCAGACCCACGCCCAGGGGGGTGTGTGCCTGTGCGCAGTCCCATGTCTGAAAGATGCTTCCTGCAAGCCCACGGCACAGGTGGGGGCCACCTCCCCGACCAGCTGCCTGACAGGTCGATTTTCAGGGATTTCCAGGAGCCCCACCAGCAGTGAGACAGCCACTTCTTTGTCACAAGGGAGAGCAGGACTCGAGACAGCAGCCATAACTTCACCCACCATTACCACGCTACACCAGTGCCAACCTGGGAGACCCATCCATTTTTGTCTAGAGATACAGTAAGAATAAGATACCTCTCTTCACAAGCTGCTGGAAAGGGGGAGGCCAGCAGAGGATGGGTTGGGAGCAGGTCTGTGCCCACGGGGACTTGTCCAGCATGAAGTGGGATAGCTGAGAAGAGGGTCTGCTTTGCACCACATGTTCTTGGCCAGGAGTGTGCGCATGTGCTTGCATGCACGTGTGTTTGTGCTGCGTGTGTGCAGCCCCAGCAGGCTGTACACTGACATGCATCTGCTCCCTTGTCTGGAACAAAGGCAGCTCCCCCTCCTCTTCACTCCCAGCCGGCACAAGCCAGGCATGAAACACCTGTCTCCTCAATGCAAGAGCATCCGATCCAAATTTCTCCACTAGAAACCACCTGGTCACTCCACAGCCCCACGTGGGGACAGTGACCTGGCAGGGGACCCCAGGGAGAGTGTTGAACACAACTCCAGAAGGGGAACTGGGGGAAGGACCCGGAGCTACCCAGTCCCAGCACAGCCCCCCCACTCTCTCTCACCCACAACAAGGTGAGGGAACTGGTTGCAGGCAGAGGGTCAGTCTGAGGCGGCACGGCAGTGCAGCCAGAGCACGGGAAAGGTGCTGGAAGATGGAGTGGGATTGCTATCCATGGAAGCGGAGCGGATGGAAGGAGAAAAGCCAAATCCCCTCTGCTTCAGGCCGGCCAGCGGCCTGAGCCGCAGGACCCCAGCCCCACTGCTACAGCCCCAGGTCGCGGCCGGCGGTCAGCACCGCGGACAGCTCCGCGGCCGGCGGTCAGCACCGCGCACAGCTCCCGCTGCCGCCCCGCCGCCGCGCCCCGGCACCGGCAGCCCCCGGCCAGCTTCCCCCCTTCCCGGGGAATGCCCCCTCGAAGCCCCCCAAGTATCCTTCCGCATCTCGGTCACTAAGCCAGCTCCCTGCCCCACAGCCTGCTCCTGGTCTCATACTGTCGTTGGTGGATCCCCCGCACATCCTGACGCCCCGCTGGACACACACCCCCGTTTCTGCAGGCTGTCCATCTCCGCTGCCCCCTGCACGCACACAGCCTTCTGCCCTGCATCTGCAACCCCCCGGGCCCACTCACTTCCCACGCACACGCCTCCCTCCCGGGGTGTTCCGCTGCCTGTGCACTGCCTGCGTCCTCCTCGCACGCACAACTCTGCACCCCCCTGCACGGGTACCCTGCTCATCTGTCTCTATGCCCCACTGCATGGGTACACCGTGCCCCACTGCATGCACACCCACGCATCCCATTCCACAGACATTCAGTACCCTCCACAGGCATTCCTGTACCCCACTATGCAAACACCCTACACACACGCATCATCTCTGCGCCCATCACACTCATCTGATGTCCCAGTGTAGGTGTACCCTGTGCCCCATGGCACCCCACACCCAACTGGGGACACCTCTGTACTGTGCAGCATGTCTGCCCCAAAGCCCACTGCATGCTGGCCCCATCCCTTGTGCCACACTCACCGTGTCCCATCACAGATGCACCCCACATCCCAGGAAGCCAATCCCCCCATAGCTGCGCCCTTGTGCTCCATTCTCACCCGCACCCTGCCCCACTGCATGCAAACCTCACATCCCATCGCTCACGTAGCTCATCCCAAGCTACGCATTCCAAGCGCATCCCCTGAGCCCCACCACATGGCGCCCCACACCTGCAGCTCTTCTGCCCACCGCATCTCACCCACTCCCTGCCCCACTGCATGCACACCCCACATCCCATTGTTCGTGTACTTCACACCCATCCCAAGCTCATCCCTCTGCCCCACGGCTCCTCACAGAGTCCTGTGACTCACACCTCCAGCCCTCCTGCCCACAGCGCACACCCCCGTGCTCCATTCCCACCTGGCCCCCGCCCCACTGCGTGTACACCCCACATCCCACTGCTCGTGTACCTCAGGCACACTACACGCTCATCCCGCCGCCCCACGGCACGCTGAGCTCCGCCGGACGGAACCCGTGCCTGCATCCCCCTGCCCACCGCACCCTTCCCCGCGCTCCAATCCCACCCGCCCCACTGCGCGCACACCCCACACCCCAAGGCTCCCGTACCTCACACCCATCCCAAGTTCATCCCCTCCGTCCCGCCGCAGGACTCCGGCGCCCCACACCTCCTGCCAGCGCACACAGCCCCGTGTTCGGTCCACACCCGCCCCACTGCGCGCCCCGCCACCCCCATGGCTCCCGTACCTCACACCCACCCCAAGCTCATCCCTTGCGTCCCGCCGCACGGACCCCGCTCCACCGCCTCTCTCCCACCCACCGCACACACGTCCTCCGCGCTGCCGCCTCGCCCCCGCCGCGCCGACATTCTCGCCGTGCGCTCCCGCGCCCCGTCCCGCGCTCGCCCCGCCACCCCACACCCGCGCCCCCCGCCCCGGTCTCCCGGCGG